TCACTTTGAAATGTAAATATAAAAAATAATCTTGATTACAGTGAGGCAGAATCATGTGCTGCCCTGTAAGAAAATGTGTTAGTTAAAAATAGCCAAATTGCTTTTCTCTCACACTTTTCTAAAAACATGGAATCTATTTTTCGTAAGAATTTAGATTCCATTGAAAGAACTTCATTCTGTTTTTTCTCTTTAAATAGAAACTACTAGAGCAATCCTCTTTTAATGTTATCCTGACTTAAACCAAGCATAATCTAGGTGCTATATATTGGCTTAGTAACAAATTCACAATATTTTTAAATTAATTATTTTTCCTTAAGGGAGTGTACTCCTTGCCAAGTCCATAAAATTAAACATATCATTTCAATGTGCTCATTTTTGTCTGAGGATATGACCTTTTTTGTATTTAACAAAGAAACATTTTCCAATGAATGAACCACAAATAAATTTCATTTCTTTCTACAGATACCACTCTGGCTAATTTTAGGGGCAGGACTCTCCCTATTGGTACTGCTTATGAGAATGAGTTCTAGATATGTTTTCTCTGAGAAAACTAATTAGACATAATTAGCATTGGGACTGCACAAATGAATATAGATAGCACTGCAGACAGGTTTCTCTGATGTAGCAATTCTTACTCTTTGTAATTTTTTCATTGTCTATTGTCCCTACTGAACTGCCATTCTACCAACATAGTAATTGCATCTGTTTTGTTCATCTCTGTCTCTCCAGGGTCACCTTGGTATCTGCTATGTAATAACTTCTCAATAAATACTTATTGAGTGAATTAATGAATTCTTTAACTTTGTTCTGAAGACCATGGTGAAATGTAGAAGTGTTACTGCTATAGTAGCTCTTGCCTTCCAGGATCATTGTCTCCAAAGTGTGTAGCACAGTTAGAAATGGATATACCTTGATCAGCTAGGTTTGAGGTAAAACTCCCTCACATTATCAAAAGTGGGACAGTTGTGAGCTATTTCTAACACATCCAACCTTTCCTTATCAGAATTATACACATATCAAGTCACATGGGTTGGGCTTCAAATACATTTTTGGGTGCTATATCACTGTTGTTTGTGCCTTCAAACAACAGATCACAAATAGAACCCAAAATCACGTCCTCCAAGGCTCTGAGAAAGAACTCCTCCTCACTTCCTCCAGTTCCTTATCACTCTGCTGTCACTCCAGTCACACACCCTTTGTCTTCTTGTCTCAACCTCATATAAGCAGAATGACTCTCAGATCTGAGACCACCCAGATAACCCATAGTGGCTATGGTTTTTATTTATACTCTTTGAATGGAGTGGAGATATGTTACTCTGGACTGTCCACAGACATCACAATGATTGAATTTCCTCCCTTCCTGGAATTTTCATCCCAATGAAAGTGACAGTTTGCAAAAAAAATAATTTGGGTGGCACAGTATACTTTCATTTACAGTATTAGTTTAAGGGGTTTTAGAAACATCTGTCTGAGAGCCTAAAAACAACAACAACTGGAAAACGCTTTCCAAATGACTGGTTGGCCATGAAAGTGAACTGTCAGCACCTAACCATTACGGGAAGCATGACTCTGTCAAGGAACTGAGGGAATGCGCTGTCCTTTAATCAGACAAGCTAGAGATGTGTGCTAGCCAGTTGGAAAAAGCCTCATTAATAAAGTTAAGGAATTTGAAGTTTGCTCTGAGATGAAATCAGAGCTCTGTGTGATGGACCAGCACTAATCCCATAAAGACAGATCTTATCCAGCAAGTGCAATAACCGCAGCACAGGTCTGGGGCATCCCCCCTACTTCCATGTAAGAGATTGCATTCTTTCTAATATTTTATTGTAGCCTCCAAAAAAAAATACAATAGTTACATTTCTCTGGCAGACTGTGACAATTATGTTTAATTCAACTCTCTCACATTATAGACCTGAAATCAATGGCAAACAACAGCAAGCATGATTTTCGTAGAACAAAAGAAAATCTGGCTCCAGTAGGTTCTACTGTTAGTGAAAAGGGTCATCTCACTAGGACTTGGAGACAGACAAATCAGTGTCATGCTCTCAGCTGTGCTGTGTACAGTATGTGTGGGTTTGGACAAGTAACAGAGCTAATTAACAAGAAGTAACAATGGTACTGTCATAAGCATGTGGACCATGAACAGACATTCAATAATATTTTTAAACTCAGTGCATTGACCAAAGAACATAGACATCTGATTATTAAATAATATACAGACTATAAGTGATACGGGTGTTTGTCCGATTTTCTTGATCATTATCTGTATCCCTCATTATCTGTATCATTTTATACACAGTACAATAGTGACATTCATTAAGCATCATCACCAACTCTGTTGAGTATGTGTGTATGATATTGTTATACAAAAGTGTTTAATTCTGCTAGTATACATGCTTAGTAAATAATTATACAGGGAGATGCATTCTCCAAATTTATTTAATGTTCTGTTAAACAATTAACATTTTAATTCAAGCCCATTTCATAATCACATAACCAGAAGGATGCAAAGGGCGACTTATTAGTGAAGCCAGCAGTTAACGAAGTTATTATGTAAATCAACATAAATTTCTATGACAAACTTTCTGATTTTCACAAGCCACTCAAGGACACAATCTTATTCCCCACCTGAGCTTTGAATAGCATCCCAGAAAACACTAGAGACCTGACTACTGTGACAATATTTGTTCGAGGCTGGAAACTCTTGAACTAGATCATATCTTTTTTTTGAGCACAGGAATTGTAAGTAAATAATGTCCTCTTTTAAAAGTGTTGTCCTCTTTCTCTTCAAAACTATAATGTTTTCTGAAACATCAATTTCTTAAAAATTTATTGTTTGATAATTTTCAGTTAGAAAATTTGACACTTTAGAGCACAACATTAATTCCCATATCAGTGCTATTTTGAAGGTTGCAAAACATGTGAAGAACTAATAAAAAAGCTTGAGTCCATTATTCACTCGGTAAGATACAACTTGTCTCTGAATAGATTATGAATCAAAATTCAACTTTGCAAAAACTTCCTGAAAATACTTTGACTAAAATCTAATTCCAATGTTTAATAAATTTCTTTAGCAGAAAACTGAACAAACATGACTTTTGTTTCTTACTACCTTTAGAAAGCCTCCTAAATGTTGTGACTGAGTCCTTACTTAAGCCAACAGTTGCTATTCCCTAGGAGAGGAGGTGGTGCAAACCTGAAGACCTGAGTTGAGTCCCCAAGAACCCTTATGGAGGCTGAATGCAGTAGCATAGCTGGCACTACCCTTACAGAAATATGAGAGATGGAGAAAGGGAAACTCCTGGAAGCTAGTGGAATGTCTGTATTAAAATAACCTGCAAAAAGAGTGGTGAATGTTGAGAAACTCTGTCTCCAACAAGGTAGATGATTAGGACCAACACACAAGATTGTCCTCTGACCTCCATATGCACACTGGAGTGCACACTGGTACACACACTCACACTCACACTCACACTTACACACACACACACACACACACACACACACACACACACACAAAATAACAGTGCTTTAGTCAAGTTGAAGGATAATAATGGGACTCATTAATTCATATTTTAGACTATTGATGATTGAATTATTATTGGTACTTGTAGCATAGGAAAGAAAACAAAACTAAAATTTGAGAGCCCGAACTCATGAAGAAACTCTTTAGCTAAATTGTATTTCACTTTCATTACCCCATTTTTTCCTTGCTTAACACATATCAATTATAGATATTCAGGGACTCACTCTGATATTTCTGTATGAATATACATCATATAAGCAATTTCCCATGCCATCCAGGATAGAAAACAGCAATAGAGAAATGGAATACAATAATGAACTGAACCAATCACTGTACTTTAGGGCCCCTGGAAGATTAATGATATGTAGCTGCTGCAGTTTTTAAGATGAGTTTTCTTGTCTATAATGTGCAAGGTCCCCTTTTAAAAACTTTGCCTCATATACACACAAACAGACACACACACACACACACACACACACACACACACACACACACACACACACACAAAGATATAATTTTGTCAGTGTCTTTCTTTCTTTGTGTAGTAACTCATTCAGACAAAGGTAACTTAAGTGGACGGCTATATTTTGGCTCACAGTACCATTGTTTAGGAAGAGAAGCCAAGGCTTCAAGAAAGCCTCAGAAGCGGCTGGCCATAGCACAGTCACGGAGTGTGGAGCAAATGAATGAATGCTGGTGCTCAGATCCCCTTCTCCATTTATTGGTTCCTGGATCCCAGCCCATGAAATGGTTCCTACTACAATTAACGTTAATGTGATCAAAATAATTCCTCACGTGCATGCTGAGATGCCAGCATCACCCAAATGATTCTGGGTCAGTCAAGTTGAAAATTAATATTAAACATCACACATAGCAAAAAAAAAGTAGTATGTTGTTAGTATATGTGATCTGGCCTTTTCATCAAAAAAAAGAAAGAAAGAAAAAGGAAAGCACTTAAGTATTCTTTTCTCCCCCACTTATTAGCTATAATATATATGCATATATATGTATATATATGTATATACGTATATAGACAGACATACATATGTGCACATATATACACATGTATCCTTGTCTATACACATATTTACTTGCACTATGAGTATGGGACAATGTGTTTTTAATATTTGAACTTACTTCTATGAAATATAAATTACATATAAATTATATTACTCTAACATATTAGTTTAAATTACAGCATAGTCTTTTCATATTTTAGAAACAGATGCCAAATGAGTCTGCAAAGTCTGATCAATGCAATTCACTCAGTCTTAAAAGGAAGCATTAAGAATTCATATACTTAAGTTATATTTTTAAGAAGAAAGTTTTGTGCTGTATGTGATGAACTCAGTTCTGCAAACATTATATAAATCTCATTTCAGCTGGGTTGTTTAGAGATCAATTGTGAAGGTCAAACCTATGGTGTTTAAAAAAATAACCATCGCCATATGTGTCACCTGTGTTTGTGTTTCAGCTTCTGACATGGCAGCAGAACAAGGGCAGATCCTGGTAATAGCCACGGCGGCTGTGGGGGGATTCACTCTCCTAGTCATCCTCACTCTGTTCTTCCTCATCACTGGGAGGTAAATGAGTCTTCCATGATTATCCCCAACTCAGTAGAAAACCATGCTTTACGCTGTGTGTGTGTGTGTGTTTGTGTGTGTGTGTGTGTATGACAGTATATGATTACCAATATCCAATGTGACATGTTAGAGTCATTTGGGAAGAGGAAACCCCAATTAAGAAAATCTCCTGACCAGATTGACCACATCAGATTGATGTAGGAAGGCCCAGCTGATTGTGAGCTGGTGTTACACCTGGACACTGTTGCTGGGAGGTCTAAGAAAGGAGTCTGAACAAGCCACAAGGAGCTAGGCAGTGAGCATCTCTCCCCTATGGCCTCTGCTTCAGTTCCTGCTTTCAGAGTCCTGTCCTGACTTTCCTCACTGATAGACTGTGAAATGACAGCTGTGAGCTGAAATAAACCCTATCCTCTCCAAATTGATTTGGTAATGATGTTTTCTCACAACAGAAACCCGAGGCATTTCTAAATATCAGTAGGGGAACAAAGAATATCTCAAGACTTGCCTTAATAATCTGAAACATGCATAAAACAAGATGCCAATGCCATGATTTAAAACTGCCCAAATAATGCCAATAAAACAAACGATAATCACTCAGGGTGACTTCATATATAAAGCACTAAATGCTATCAGAGACTCCTGAAAGCAGATAAAGCAGTGACAATGACAGGCAGTAGATGTGGTTATGCCATTCTGAGCCCCAGTGACAGAAAGAGATGATAGGGAGGTACTTAATTCATATTCTAAAGGATATAGGTAACATATATTATAAGTATATCTTATTTGGCTATATAGAGAAATGTTACAAAATAGAATATTTAAAATCTACTTCATAATGAATGGGGAGTTTTGTTTACTGTTTGTTGTTGTAAATAAATGTGACACTTCTTTTTAAAAGAAAAAATCTAATATTGTACCTTAAACATCTTCAAGGAAATTTTCAAAATGGAAGTTAAGAATCTTGCATATCAAAATTTTAATCATATTAAATTATCACAGTCTAGATAATATATGTACCATATATTTGTTAATATCTCTACATAGGATATCATTGCACTTTCAGTTGTGTGTAATTTTATGATGAATACATTATTATTGTCAAGGTATCCATACCCCAGTTTCACAAGTTGATGACAGCATTTATTTTTTAGAGGTTAAAGGAGAATATACTAGAAAAATTTATTATGTTTAGTGTTTTCTTGATAATGTTTACTAAGCAGTTATCAATATATAAGGTATTAGCAGTATTATTGTAACACAATCACACTGCCATTGTGACTTTTCATGCAAAAAAATTCATTTTATCCCTCATATCCATTTAACTCCTCAGACACTTTTTTTCCTTTTACTTGTCCCCACTCTGCCACAGATCTGCCACTCTGTCTTAGAATCCTTCTCCTTTGCAAGAGAGTATGTGATGACATTACAAGAACATTCACCTTTTACAGTAAAAGTTAGTTCCTTGAATTATAAATGTCACAAATTTAAATGCTGCAATCTTTGTGGACAAAATTTAGGCTAACAAGCTTGAGAGGAGTTATCAGATGTTACCTATCATCAGAATACTTGAACTGGAATATCAGTGCCACTTAAACAGAGAAGTTAATAACAAAGAACACTGAACACTGACTCATTCTCAGCTTTGAATTTCTATGTTTGCCAATTTCTGTAACATCGCAATTGCCTACACACTTCACAGACTGGTGAGAACTGCTTTGATTACATTGGCTAACACAGGCATTCTGAAGTACCTCTTACCACCCTCGGTAGATGGACATTCAGTGGAAGTTATTCCATGGAAAACGGAAAGCAGATCTGGATGAATATTTAAACTACCATAGAAATATAGGCATAATTCACAATGGAAATATTGCACTGTGTATTCCAGATACATTCTGTTTAACCAATCAGAATTATAGATTTTATGAACAGTCAAATCCCCTGGATGTTGATGAAGCCACTTGAATTGATACAGGCACAAGAGCCCAGTTACACAACAGAAGAATGAAACAGTCCCCCACAAATTTTCAGCTTTTAACAAAGAAGCAACTATGCTTCTTTGTTAAAAGTAGAAGCTAATTTTCTAAGTTCCTGATATTCTAAATAAAAATCTTTTTATTTTGATACTTAAGAAAAAAACAATTGTGGTTATGAGAAGTCAGATATAAAAGAAAGTGATATTTATGGCTGATGGTAAAATATTGTATGTGAATCCTACCTTCCAAATCAATCTATTTGATAGTGCTATTTGGTGATAATTTTTATGTATATAAAAACATTATGTGGGGCATTTTCACATTATAAACATATTCTAAGATGGTCTTTACGAAGAAGATAAGAACCTTGTCTATGGATGTGTTATGTAATGGTTTTGTATTCTTTTTTACATTTTATTTTTAGTTGTAAGTTATGTATATGTAAAGGGATGTGCTCATATGAGTTCAAGTGTCCATAGAGGCCACAAGAGGGGTTTGCAGCTCCTGAACCCTGAAGTATGGGCAGTTGTGAGTCCTCTGACATTGGTCCTAGGAATCAGCTCAAGACCTCTGGAAGAGTAGCAAGTGCTCTTAACCATTGAGCCATTTCTCCAGACCCCTAGCTGTTTTGCATTACTTGATTCTTTTTTATTTCAATGCAAAAGCTTTCATCCTCCCACCATGGGGGCGGAGGATAGCTGAGGAAAGACCACCCAGAAACCATGGGACAGAGATCTTATAGAGCAGCGTAAGGGGAGTGTCTATGGGTATGCACAGGCTCAGGATTGGTGCACCTCCAAACTTGGAGGACCTGCCTTATGTTGATTGGCCAACTGGTTGTTATGGCCCATAGGCCCTCCCAGGGTAGTTGCTATGCCCTGTATTTAATTCTTAAACAAGCTTTTGTTTATTTTTTGTAAGGTGTCATTGGTATATAAAGGCCAAAATGAAATCAGAGGAGAAGAGAAGAACACACTTACAGAATGGCCACCGTAAGTACTTTGATTGTTCTGTCCCTGCTCTCTATCCACCTGGAATCTTCAAACTCCATTCAAATTTGGAATCCCCTGAAAGAAAAACAAAAAATTCATTTGCAACCTTTTGGCATTAAGGCTTTCATCTAACTTCCAGGTTTAGGGTGGAAACCGCACCTGCTTCTCATTAAATGACGTTACCCTTTCTTCAGTACTTGAGGGAGAACCCAACAAATTGAATTTACTAAAAATACATGGTGACTAATTGTGTGTACTTATTTACCATCACAATGGCTCTGGAATATGAGTCACTTTATTTAGTGAATCATTAGATACAGACATGTGGAGGAACCCTTATTCCTTTTTTTTTTTTTTGAGAGATTGTCATTTAATCATACAACAAAGCAATTTACAATTCATTAGCACCATAAAAGTATATCAGCTCTTTAACGCTTAGAATATGTATGAAGCCCCGTGCTGACAACAAGGTTATATTCATTTGAAGATCTCTTCCTCAGCAAGCTATAATTACCACTATAGTTGGTTTGATAATTGCCCTTCTCTCCTCCCAAAACACCCACCTCCACCTTCACCTCCAAATTGCACACTACTTCTTCAAGACAGTCTTTCTATTGTAAGACACCGAATTAACAAGAAAGGGATGCTCTTTAATTAACCAAAGTATAGAGATAATATATGGAGCAATTCGCTCAACTATTTAAATATCCCTTTTGTTTTAAATTAAGCAAGAAATTAAAAATAATAAAAATACCCCTCCTATCTATATTACCCCACAAGACAGGAAAAGGTTTTAAATAAGATATTATGCATTTCTGAGATGGTTTAGGGAAATTTCTAAGGTAGCTATCACTTTTAACAGTGGTTTGAGAACCATCTGCCTGAGAGACCTGACCTGAGATGACCTCAGAACATTGTAAACAGATTGCAGAAACCTGGATGCAGACACCTGGCGGGATGACTAATGCTGGGCAACCTTCAGATTCACCACAGGGCTTTTTGTACTGAGGTGCAGAGGGAAACAGTGCTTCTGAGGTATTTATTATCTGCTTTCCAAGCAGCAGATTAGCATAAACTAAACCAGATGGGCTCAGCAAGACCTATTGAAAATAACCTGAAGCCGCCAAGGAAGTGAAGAAAAAGAAACCAGTGTTTAAGAAAGCGGGGATGAATTAAATTAGTAACCTGATATTCACAATTGGGACTCATTTGGCCAAGGATTTTCCAATACTACATAAATTACATTTTCACAGATGAAGCGTTGTTATCTAGTTATTGTATAGGAATACATTATAACTTTAAATAACTTGATTGTGAAAATTATGTGAGTCAGTAATGGTATTTTATCTGCCCTTAATGTTTTCAACATGACCATATATCTGATTAGTTGACACTAAGTCTCTATCAGAATGAGAGCTAAATTTAAAATTATAGCTATGATTAGGTTGTGAGTATAACATAGAGGTTATGAAAATATAACATGGAGGTACAAACTATCTCTTCTGTGCTCACATTTAAAAGGTGAGAAGTCAAGAAAAGCATAGAAATCCATTATCAATGTCAGGTCTACATACACCTGCAAATATTCTTTCTTGGTATTATTTTTTAATGCTAATTTTCTCATGTGTGCATATCAAAGCACTAGGAAGACACAGGTGAAAGGTAATAAACGAAGGCAGTGAACACAATATAATTAATGAGGCAAATTATAACTACTAATGAACATCTTACTGCCTCTACTAAGCTCACTTATTTTTGGTTGGTTATTAAGATTTCCCTGTAAGAAAGTGAGACTAAAAACCTACTTGATTGTGAATTAGTATGGCTTTCAATTTCTGAGATATAACAAAACCAAACATCATCCTCTTGTTTTATATTATGAGTTAGATATTTTTGTGTCATTCTCACAAAATAGTAGACAAAAGCACCGTTGAAGCTGAAGTTTTCTTTTGCTCATGGTCTCAGAGGTCTCATACATCAAGGGCATGATGGAGCAGAGATATTCAACTCACAGCAGAGAGGAAGAATACCCTGTGAAAAGACCATCTATGCTATGGGTTTCTCCTCTTTTCTCCTTTATTCATCATACACTCTAACCCATGTGACTGTTCTACCAAGATTTGAAGAAGTTTTCTCCCTTAATGACTACTATCTTGGAACATCTTAACAGACACACCCAAAGACTTTCAGTAATCCCTAGAGCACTTCTCAATCATTTGTCAATCAAAATTAAGCATCATAGGTGCACCTTCCATCAACTTGACATCTAAATATATCTCCTTAAACTATTGCATTCTACCCCTCATTCCAAAATGTTTCATGAGCATCTTACAATATCAAATGCATTTTCCCCAGAACCCAATTAACAATTCAACATTGCTGAAAAGTTCTAAGTCTCCTATGAGCCCAGAGTGACAGAGACCAGATAGAGTGATACAAAACCAATACTCTCATTCCAAAAGTCAAGAATATGGAATATCACATAAGGTTTGGAACAAAACAAACCAAATACAACAGAGAAAACATTAAATCATGTAGATTTATGTCTAGGAGTAAGGGCATGCTGTAGAATGGCATAAATTGCAAATGACTTGGGCATCACATCCTTTCTGTTTTTAGTGCATTTGATGATTTTCCTGAGCTGGATCTGCTTGTTGCCTATAGTCTTTCTCAACAGATATCCCATATACCCAGAATCTCTAGCTTCCTGGGATCTCTATTCCATCTTTATCTTTGCTATCATAGCTTTATACATTATCTATCAGGACTTACCACAGTAATACCAAATCTACACTTTGACTGAATCTCTTTTGAGTGGAAGTCTCTACAGCTCTACCCATAAATCTTCTACTTTCATCACTGTAAAATTAGAATTAGTAAATAATGCTCAGATGTCCTGACAGCTTGAACTCTGAGTATAGAGTCCTCTTAGTATCTAGATGATTGAGAAAACTGAAATAAATCTTAAGGAAATAACTATCCAAACTGTCCTAGGTAAGTAGAATACACTAACAGATCTCTAAGGAAATATCTTTCAAGTGTATACACTTATACTCAAGTCTGACATGGCTTGATTTCTGCTCATTCCTAAAATGTTCAAGGTATACCTTATTGTTCCAAAGCCAAGTCCACAGCCTCCTTTTAATGGCTCTAATCTCTTTAATAGCCAGACCCTCCTTGTCTATAACTTTAATTTTACATCCTTCTGACCAAATTGTGAAGTTGTTGGGTTTTTCCAACCCCTTCTTATTTTTAAATCACAGTTCTCACCATAAATATGGCTAAAAGAAGCCAACACGAGTGTGTCAGAGCCTCCCTGGACTGTTTGGATATTTCCTTCACCATATTCACATATGGTAATCTTAAAATCCAGCCTTCCACTGGGGCCTGGACAAAAGATGGAGAAATTATCTGTTTCAATGTAACATGAAGGTCCTCTAACCAAATTTCCAGTAGAGTTCTTCCTATAAGAAACTTCATGAATACAGTCTTTTTCTCTTGGCATTACTGCCTGCATTCTGCTCTTCTGACCTCCCTCCATTAAGTTCTCCTTACAGACCCAGAATTTTTGCCAGAATTTCTTCAGAACCTTTTATAAACCATCTCCAAAGCCTCTGAATGACATGGTTCAGTTTAGTCAGAGTAATACTCTTTGCATTAGAGGATACTGTTTGTGCTCACCTGATTCTACATTTCTGAACCTATAGTAAGGTAATATAGCCTAGAAGTAGGCATATGGAAAGGGCTGTTCAATTTGTGACAGTCAAGAAGCAGAGCAAGAGAGAATTTATGAACTGTGGGATCTCTCTGTTGCTTTCCTTTTTGTTCAGGCATCAACTTGAAGGGGAAATAAAGATAAATTTAAGTAATTTAATAAGTACTATTATTATCAGAATACCACTCCCACCTTTATACATTAATAAGATATATGCCTAGTAAAATACTCTTAAATTAAATCAATCTTATATTTTGTTGCAGTGCGCTTCCCAGGAGTTAAAACATACATTGATCCAGACACCTATGAAGACCCATCTCTAGCAGTCCATGAATTTGCAAAAGAGATTGATCCTTCAAGAATTCGCATTGAGAGAGTTATTGGAGCAGGTAAACATAAAATCTACATCCTTAAGTACAGGATTTCTTTAGGGCTTTGCAATTGGTTGGTTCATCAATACAGTATTTTAAATCTTAGCATGTTTCATCATTGAAAATATTAAGGTTAAAAAGTATTTTCTGCCGGACATTGGTGGCACACGCCTTTAATCCCAGCACTCGGGCGGCAGAGGCAGGTGGATCTCTGTGAGTTCGAGGCCAGCCTGGTCTCCAGAGCGAGTACCAGGATAGGCTCCAAACAATGTCAGATTAATTAACAGCTCCATCATTTTCTGAATTTCCTAGTCCACAACGCTCTTGGAAAAGATTAATTATGTCACCATGCTGCACCTTAGATTTCCAGAGCTTTTTCACTATGTAACTTATGGTGTGTAGCATTTAATCAACTTTTTCTTTCTTTTTACTTTTCTATAACTGTTAATCTCTGAAACCAACATTCTACTCTTTTCCTAAGAGTGTTATTTTTATCACCATTAGGTAAAACAGTATTTGCATTTTCATCATGAATGAGAGTAGAATTACAGTATAATCCAGCTATTGAGGAAGCATATATATATATATATATATATATATATATATATTCTATTTTTTAGTTATTTCTTCAAAAGCAGATGTGTCCATATTCAGTTCCAAATAATGAGAATATTTGCAAAAGTTATTTTCACCTTTTATAGTCTGTTTCATAATGAAGATAAATTACAGAGAAACTAGTGCCTCAGGAATTTATTTTGAAAATGCAATTTCAGGAGTTTGTCGTGAGATTATTATAGATTTACTCAAGTCCCAGCATCTATAGACTTATACTATAATTAGTGTTCATAAAGATGACCTTGAGGCTACACAAGGCTTAGAGTGTTCTGAAAATCATTGAAGGTAAAATTTGGTTCAATATCATTTTAGATCATTTTAATGCAAATTAATAATGCTTCCTATGTGCAAATCTTCAGTACTCAGAGCTTTTCATTATTCAGCTATTCTGGTTTTAAAGAAATTATGGTGAAGCACCCACAAGAATTTATGGTATGCATTAGCTAGAAAGAACTATGCTAATGCAAAGGGCCTTGAGAATAAAGAATATTTCCTCTTCTAAGTCTTTGATGCAAGATAAGCAGTCTGGGGTTTTCAGAAGAGATTTCCTTCAGGAGGTCTTGCAGAGGCGAGTTCCATTATCTCTTGTTGTGCTTTCCCGGGTGTGACCTCTATATGGTCAAGGTTCCCTTAGCAGGACATCTGCCTTTCTGCCTAAAGGAGGAAAAAGAAAGACTTTTGTTCACTTGCCTTTGCTGTTGAAGCAATAACCTAGAAATTCCCCCTGATTTGCTTATTAACTATCATCATATTAACACACTGAAATCTAGGAAATAGAAACACTGGCAACTTACCACTGGTATCTTAAAACAGATGGTGTAAAAAAATGTGTTAAAAAGGGTAAACAAGACTGCATACTTTGTGGAGTGATTAATCCCCTGACAGTGCTGCATGTGTGTAATCCTTGGAGAAAGCAGAACAAGCCCATGTGTTGTCATCAGGGCAAGTGTGTCTTCTCAAAGGCCACAAGAAAGCAGCTAATTATATTTCACTCGTTTAGGAACCCTCCTACATAGCAGACTATACAGTTCTCCGGGTGCAGTGTATGACAATAACAGGGGTCGCTTGTTAAAAATTATTATAGGTTTCCAAGTGGTGGTAATAATATTTGAAACCGACCAGCAACTTCTTTTAAACCTGAGCTCTATCTCTGTGATTGCATAGCACATGCCAGAGATAATCTTGCTTCTGAGAGTCACTGGGTGCTATTACTACCCAGGACCATGGGCTATTAGAAAAGAATTTTTCCTAACTGCACTCCATTCCTCAAACACATTGGGTCATCATGTTACCTCCATAGTCAGGTGTCCCTTTGGAAACTAGCATGAAGTTGTGTATCTATGCTCTGATCAGAAAAGACTTCCCTACTAGAAAAATGACAGGCTTAAAAAAACAACTGAAACTTTGTTATCTTCTGTTGAGTAAACAACTGCAAAGGCCCAACACAAAATTTAAATGTGTGTTATATTCTGCTTCACAGTGTGTGTTGGGTTTTTGTTCTTCTAAAAAGTGGAGCAATCCAGAAGAAAAGAGGCTAAAGTAGTTCAAAGATTCAACTTTCCTCTTATGTCCCATATGATATCATACTAGAAAGTATAAATTTTTATTTCTCTTATTAGCATTGTTTTCATCATTATTTGTGTGTATGTATTATGTATGAATGTGGGGGGGGAGCATGTGTACCACAGCACGCATATGAAGGTGAGAGAACAATTGTCAGGGGTTGGTTTACTCCTTCCACCTTGCTGAAGCCTGCTTCTAGTGCTTCTGCCATACCATGTGCTGCCCTTCCAGCTTCCAGACTAATTTCCAGCTTCTGCCTCCCATCTTCCTGATGGGGATGCTGAAATTACAAATATGCAATGTCACATCAATCTTTTTGTCTGGGGCCTTGGATATTAATTCAGGTCTTCAGGCTCTGCTGCACAGCATGTTCCTTTACCTGCTGAGCCATCTCACCTGCCCACCATAAACTTCAATGCTGCGTTATTTAGCACTCTCAAGATAGAGTGGAAGCATGTCTCTGTCATTGTCTCCCATGCATAAATTAAGTGCCAATGTCTGAAATCATTATATTGAGAAATAAAATCAAGTTTCTGGAATATAAATGATGAGAAGTTCAACTTTCAGTTTGGGGCTCCTTTGTCCTCATCTAACTATATTTTTTGGAGGCAGATTTTTCTGTCCTATCTGTCTGCTCCCAAATAACCACATGGAGAGTTCTTATTAGATATGAAAGATTGGCTGGTAGCTTAGGCTTGTTTCTAACTAGCTCCTCTAACTTAAATTAACCGTTTTGATTCATCTACATGTTGCCACTTGACTTGTGGCATTTAAGTACTTCCTGCTGTCTTGCTCCCTCTCTGTCTGTTAAGTCACCTTTTCTCTTCCCAGCATCCTTTCTGCTCCCAAAATCCTGCCTAGCTGTTGACTGTTCAGCTTGTTATTAAACCAATCTGAGTAACACTTCTTCACAGTGTACAAAAAGATTATTCTACAATATATTTTTCCTTTCAAAGGTATAACAGATACAGTAACTACTAAAAAGACTTTCTTAATACTATAGTCCACCTGTTTTATCTGCAATTCTCATGTGGCAAGCAAACACAGAATATTTAAATTTGTAATTACTTCTCTGTTCCTTCTCCTGTCCTCTTTCTCACCACCCCCATCTTTATTTAGCTTCAGTGTTTACACAATATGGTAAGAGTCTCTTTATAATTTGCTTTTAGAAATATAAAAGTAAATGTTTTGTGACAGCATACTCCTGCAACTTAATGTCCCCTGTATGCCCCCACTCAGTTCAAATAAAACTTTTAGACCATGTTTCCAAAATTGATTGTGTGGGGGAAACCTTGGTGGATGGGTGTGGTCATGGCCTGTAGAAGCAGTGTGGAGAAAACACTATTAAACATAGGGTCAAGAAAGGTATAGTACCTCTCCTCATCTATGCTAGCGGTCATGACCAACTCTCACAATAAAAGACAGGTTAAATACAGAAATTTACAACACAGCATTTAATTGAAGTTTAGCATGGTCTGAGAACTTTCATATACAAGGGCTCTAAGACACTGGGAATGTTATCCATGTATATGCTTTTGATGGTAACAATTGATACTGTACACTAATGTGTTGAGAAAAAGGGGGTAATCTAATAGGAGAGACTAAAAAGGGAATCCCACAGTGATTGCCTTCTTAGCTCTATATGTAGCTTTACCTCCTTCTAGATTTGAGGCAGAAGTCCTTGGAATGGGTGGCAGTGTCGGTGGGGGGGGGTCATCTAATAATATACTCTCAGAAAAGACAGATCACAGAATTTACACATGTCCAACTCCCACACAGAAAGACACGGGAAGATCCAAACAGAAAACCTAGTTTGTATGATTTGCTTTGGAGGAGAGAGGTCTCTCATTTCTGTGAAATGTTCTGAGAAAAAGAACAGGGGCAAACACAGAAGATCATGAGATGTCTGGAGAGATTCTGAGACCCTGCCATTATCCTGAATGATGGCAGATGAATGTGCTATACAGTGGTGAAAAATTTTCTAAGCCCTGGCATGATTTAAATGATGGGTAAATATATATGTATTTACCAAATCTTAAGTGGTAAGTTTCTTTAATTTAATCCAATCCTGCTCCCCTCCACACACACACACACCCATTGCTTCCCATTAGTATTCATTTCTACTGTAACAGAGTGCACTGGGCAACTCCTTTGGAAATGTGAGCTAAAATACATAAGTTGCTGAGTAAAGATGTTAGAAAGAGGTAGAATTGTGTGGGCGATGGCAGAGGTCTGGCACTATATCCTGACAAGTGTCTGATGAATGACATTCAGGCTAGATGAAGGCACACAGTCTCCCAATTCATTACTGAGGAAAAAAATCTCCCAGACCTGCATGCATTTTTGGAAATGAAATAGCCATAAACTATTCCAAGTTTCTTAATGGTAAATACAAGACCATTAAATGTTTCTTTACCAAGTTACAGCAAATGAATGTAAACATGGCTGCATTGATGCTCTCAGAAAAAAAAAAAAAATAGACAAAAGAACCTGGAAAATGGCATGCCCTTGACTCAAAGAATCATTTGAACTACTGGTTGAATCATGTTTACTAGGTGGCTGATATTTACAAAAGATAATATGCTAATTATTTCTTTCAAATGAAGTCTTTATGCTGATTGGAGATATGTGTATTCCACCTATCTTCCACAACCATTGTCCTTGGATTTTCAACGTCATGATCACATAATATGCAATGAAAACTTAATTGGCCTATATGAATGTATATGTGTTTGTGTGTGTGTGTGTGTGTAGACATTCAACATACTCTGTCACCACTGCAAATTTTACAGTTTTATGAGTTTTCTAAAACAGTTTTTATACCACTTTTTTACTTAATA